AGTATAAGGATCATATGAGTGGTTGGAGTTTTCTTGAGGAAAGTAACACACACATAGACATATTGTGAAATCATCAGACTTCGCCTTCAATTTTACCTAAAACACGTCATCTTTCTCTTTGTTGAAATCCGAAACGACAAAATGATTTAACAAAGAGTTTTTCAGAAGAAACCCAACGCCATATGAACCACGCTTGACGCGGGCATGAATGTTTTTCCTATTGTGACCAAAAAAGCAATATCCGTCAACCGCTATCTGTTCGTTACTGGTCAAAAAAGTTTCGCAAACAGCAAGAACATCGAATTCAAAATGTTGGGTAACTTTACTTCTAAAAACAGAGTTATCCTTTTCATGCCTGGACCACCCATTAACGTTCCAACCATCTAGTCGAAGACTGGCCTAGCGGCGTTCCTTGCGGCTATAATTCTGAGAAGAGTGATTATCACGTTGCGGATTATATTACTACACAGCGGGATAGATCCAAACAAACCAACTGTTTTCATCATTCAGACAAATGAAAATGCGTAACTTTAGGTACAGCACGGAATTAGATTATCTAAGTCCCTGGGTATAGCAATGAATATGATTAAGCGTAACAGGGTGCATAGAATGTACACATGTATGTTGTGTTGTAAGTTGCATAGATAAGATACCTATAACTTACGCTCTGGTTTCAATACCATTTATATATATACTGATTATAATTATCAAATAATACCACTAAAGAGAATATCATAAGAATTATACCTGTTTGAGATATAAGTAGAGAAGGACGATTTTAAGAAAAAAACAATAATTACACGGAATTCGCTTGCAGCATTTCAGTTGGATTTGTAAGATAATACAGGAATAATACTCTAGGCAAACATGTCTGTATATCGCTCACCTGGTATTAACTTCACACTTGCAACCTTAAAAGTTTCATTGGGGCCATGGAGAACACTTCCGATGAACATGTTCGCTAGTTCTGGTTTAGTTTGGACGTAAGTTTATTGAATTCTTTATTTCTTTAACGAGGATTGCACACAGCCCGGAGGCTACTAGATATTTTCCTCAACATATAACAAAACAATACAATATGTACAATGAAAACAATATGACACAGATATGAAACAGATATGAATGCACCCACTCACTTTCACTCAGACACTCACACAATGACAGAAAGGAAAGGGGAAGAGAAAAGAAAGAAGACAGATAAAAACGAAGACATTTAGAATCTGTTGGACTTTGTAATAAATCCGAATACAAGATCAAAATTAATTTTGTTTGAAGCCTCGTTGATTGTATCAGAACCATGGAAGAGTATCTTAGCAAGAATATCATTCATCAACTCTCAATAAGGTCTGGATTGAAATTTGGAGCAAATTCATTACATGCTGCTTGAATTAAGAAGAAATGATTTTCATCTTCAGAAGAATTCACACAGAGACCATATAATTTATTTGGAGTTAAGTTATAGGAGAACCTCTGTTTGTTCCGTGCGCTGAGACCCAATCTTATTCTACAATGATTAATTTTGCCTTTACGTGTCCATATACGTTTATTTACATATGCCCTTCCCATTTTCCATTAACTCTATGGAAAGTCAGCCTGCAGTAGTTACTGGACAGTAACTTCAGTCTGCATTATCTGGTCACATGGTAATGGATTCCGTGACGTCAGTGTTAGCAACCACTCCCACCGATACGATAGCCGCCATCTTGTTGTTGTCGTTTGTTCCATACAAGCACGGAATTAGATTAGAGGGAAAGGCAACTGCCTCTTCGGCATAGGAAATATGTGCCGTGCACTTTGATGTTGCGAGAAACTGTGAGAAAGCGTGAGAATTTACGTGATTTGGGGAAAAAACCCGCCGCTTCAATCCTCGAAGAAATTGATTGCCGTTCAGAAGTGATACATTTTGGGCTATATTGTCCGGATTTCAAAGTAAGTGATCTTTTTAAATTCAATAATGTTTGTTGTGTCGAATACCAGAGAAATGTCGTAGAATGTGAAAGTTTATAGTAAACATACAGTGTTGCCAACTTGAATTATTTTATGGCTTCACACCCGCCATCGAGATCTACTTATCTTGCTAATAAATAGATTATTTTGACATACGGACTAAACCAAATTGTTCATTTATATGTTTTCTATTGCAACCTGTGGTTATAAGTGAACCCATATCTCTGACTTTGTAGTATTTGTATTCTGAAAACAGTTATTAATCAGTGTGTTTTTAATAATGGCCGCCATTTTGTCTTAGATTACCGATCGCGGGTGCGTTCATTAATGCATGTAATTCTCGGTAATTGATCATAAATTTGTAATGATTTGTTTACAGAATTACAATCTGGTATATTATCATGTACACAAAACGATTTCAATCGCACTGACTCTCTAGAAAGTGTATTTTTAAGGCTCTGAATATAGACCAAAATTCATCTCGATGCAATAGCGTGTGATTTCACTTCCTTCATCGTCGGGCAATTACCCGCCATCGAGATCTACTTATCTTGCTAATCTTGTTATCTAAGTCCGTGATACAAGTCACACTTTGACGGGTTTTGCAGACAATGAGGACATCCAGGATAGGAAGGGAAGTTCTTACATCTGTATTAGAATGTTCTGCACATACAATTAGAGCATCTAAGTGCATTTAACAGTTGTCGCCTGGTTACATGTTTTAATGGCGACCATTGTTCCGATAATGGCCGACTGTGGCTGTTCCAAGAATTAGGTTTTGCGTCAGCAGAAATATAAAATAAGCTCATCCGACTAATTTATAAAAGACAGGTCGTATAAGGCAATGTAAATATAACGATTGAACGTCTGTCAGATTGCATTCATATTGGCTGTAACAGCAATTTGACAGACGTTCACTCCTTAAATAAAGGGTTCCAGTGCACATGATAACATACCTATAATCAGACAGTAATATACAAACTACTCCAGATGAAGTATGTAACATTTAAAAGTCTCTAAATACGAACGAAGCAACAGGACAGATGGTGTACGACATTTTATTCTTAAAAACTGTTGTAGATCACTATGCCATATTTGGTCGCATATTTGCAATATTTCTCTCAGATCAGGTTGCTGTCACAGACAATATGAATATAATCTGGGTGACAGATAAATAGCACAGGAAATATTTGTTAAACATATCGCCCTTGGTGATTGTTTTCAATTAACGGAGGGATTTGTTGTTCACATTTTTTACCCGGGAGTGATTTGGTGATAGACCAACACTGCTTAGGACTAGTGTTTTTATTGGATAGTTTTCTTATAGTGAACTCTTGATATCGATTCAACGCTTCACGTTTTACGCGATTTGCTTCTCCACGCGCTACATGGAACCTTAACTTATTAAAGTATTTTAGTTCGCTGAAGTATTTCAAAATTTCTAAAAGTATACACACAAGTAATGTTAATCTGGTCAAACTCATCGGCAAATGAAACAGGCTATATTTGGTAGTTGCATTGAGTCCAACTTCAGTAGGAATTGAAATATCAATATTTACATTTGCATGGCATTGCCACTATATAGCCTCTTTGAAAGCTGTGTCGTTGATAGGACTTTAATTACCATGCATCACGAGACATAATTCTTAGCGTATTAGTACAACACTGACCGGAACTACAATATCCAATATAAATAAACATGACGGCTGCTGCAATATCGCTGGGCATTGTGAGTTTTGACAATGCCATTGTAAATTTATGTGCAAAATAAAAAATAAAATAAAAAAAACTTTTATTACAGTGAAAACAAGAACAATGTCTGCAATATTGTACAAAATGCACATCGGTTGAAATCACCAATGCCGGCAATGGAAACAATTTTAACGCTCATGCAATTTATCAGAAATATTGTCTGTTACACTGCACTGATCAACAGGGGTTCGTTACAAAAGTCTGAAATACACATATTCTATAGACCTACTGACACATATGTTACAGACCTACACCTGAGTCACAGCACACATAAACATTTCAGACATTTGTAACGAACCTGTGCTCCGTCGCAAAATTACTCACTTCAAACGCTATCAGTTTCAAGCGTCTTGCATCCACCATTCCTCAGCTTCTGACGACATGTCAAATAACAAGGATATTATAGAATCTACCGACTGTTGTCAGGTTCCCATACAATCAACAAATACATTCACGCCTGGGTCCTTCATAAAATGAGCAAAGAGAAAAGTTCGAATTAACATCCAAAAATAACTACCTCGTGGAGGGCAAGGTCGGATTTACGGTGTTCACTGTATTTGTCCATGCGCGAAATTTGTTCCGGGGAAAAATCGAAACAATTTTAAATATAACTTTCAGCTCAGAGTTCTATTGATTAACTTAAATCATCCTATATACATATCATACGCAATTGTATTGATACTGAATTGTGGAATAAAATTGAAGTGTTTGTTAAAATTTCAAAGTACTACGTTGTTTGCCAATCAGCACGCGACAATACGCCGTTCAAACTATTGAACGAAATTGTGTGGACTGTCGATAAGGCGGGCATTTTAATTTTAAATATAAATTATAAGTTAAAAATAACATAAGAGGCAGAGAAAACGTAAATATAAGTATTGAACTGTTTTTGTATGGTATTTATGATCTATTTGAATGACACAGCTTTGCTAGCAAACAAATCATAATGCGCTAGCGCGCATTATGTTGTTTGCTTGCAAAGCTGTGTCATTCATATAGATCATAAATACCATACAAAAACAGTTCAATGCTTAAATATATGCGTTTCGAACAATGACATGTATATTCATTATTGAATGTTCATTTAGCTTGCTACTTGTGTGTCGCTAAATTAAACTTAGCTCTGGGACTCGTTACAATACTCTGATAAAATCATTTCTATCGCAAATGCAGCGTTATATGTGTTGATAAATAAACACTAATGTTATGAAGTTTTATCGTTGCGTTGTAGACATGTGCAATTATGGCTACGTAAACTACGCATGCACGCGTTGTCAGCGTCAGTACAAACGATGTAAGTCAACCAGATCAAATGCCTATGTAACCCAGTGATCTATAACACGTGTGTTATCATACTAATGCTAACAGACAGAGAGTCCTGGTGATGCTACAAGCCTACCTACATCACGATGTGACCATACTATTGAGGTACACACATTGCTTCAAGACGTTGATAAATAATGGAGGACATCGTATAACATGGAAAATCACGAAAAGACACCTTGTGATGAGGATTCTGTACAGACGTAAGTAAATAAAGGAGTTATTTTTTTATTATTTTTATAAAAAATAACGTGGAAAAGATGTTTTAAGAGTGGTTTAGCACCTTTGTCAGTATTTTGATAGCCACTTTATTTCCGATGATGAAATACACTCTATCAGACTTGTTTGGTAATTTCACCTCTACTGGGGTTGAAACATCGTTCATTGACCTTGAAACATTCTCGATGTTGGCAAAATACATATCATGTGGTGCATGAACCGTTTCTACTTTTGAAGCATGTTGTTGAGCCTGTAACTTTTCAGTTTGATATGAGTACCCCATCTGTTAAAAATCCAAGTGAACCAATTTCCAATAGAAATGAGACTGGTTTGTTCAACGGTATGTTGCCAATAGGGAACGCAGACTGATTGATTAAATTCGACTGCATGTTTTTTTGTGTTTGCTGATTTCTGAAGGGTACGAAATCTGCACCTCTATTACCAGATCTTTTCACAATGGACACCAAACAGTCTATAATACTTGGCCGGTTTGCATAGAGTTCCAAACTTATAAAGAGTCTGCTTTTAGTTAATGGCTTAATGTTCAATATACATTTAAGGATGCCAAGTTGTTTCATACATATGTGTGTCTGTGTGTGTGTGGTCATTATTATTGATTAACATTAGATGTGCTATACTTGTTAAGGAATTGTACTTGCAGTGATGATAAGATGTTTATGTACTTTTTCTAGCGAGGCTACTTGGCCTTTTTACCTGGACAGAGTTAGATATATATTAGGTGTTTAACCTATGTATCTTCCTTGGTATGTGACAATTAATGGTCCGCCGTAAACTTTCCTGTATAGTACACATTAATTAAGACATTAAAACACCTGCACTAAAACGAAATGTAACCCGACGCCAGTTTAGAGACTAACCTAGAGACTAGCTTTACATATCTATAGAAGGTTTTTTTTACTGGTTCTTAATTTCATTTTTGTATAAACTGACGAAGCTTTTTTTATTGCAAAACAAGAATTTCAATAAACACTTCTATCTCAGAATTATTGTTACTGCGCTGAAGGATAAACCAACAAATACTGAAAAGGAAGATGAGTCGTTGACTCTAATTAGTCACCAAGTATAAATAGAGACTATTCATATTATTCTTTACAGCGATTCATCATATTCTATACATAGATTCTGACAAAATGGACGCATAAATGAATATTTTGTATATTTGTGGAAAAGTCTGACGAAGTTTTTATTCCTCACTGGATGTAATGTGTAATTACCAATCAATACAAATAACATATATTTACTTATATCTGATATATAATTGTAATGAATTTGTATTTTATGGGGGTTATGATAATTATAACCATACATATGGTACTCTATAGTTTAGGTTAACATTGTCACATACACCATATAGGTATGCTTGGTGTTTATAACATGAAGGAGATATTTCACCATAATTTCTTATACAACTATTGACATTCAAATCATACGTTTCCATTTTATCTCCAAGCAGTAAAAATAGAAACACTTGTTTTCCTAATTATTAGTCTTGTATAAGCTTCTTATATTAAGCAAAGCCTCTTGTTGTCAACATTACATAGGACTGATATTTTAATCTATCTATCTTTGTTGCTATGGTAAACACATGGATTAATATGTAATGGGACCTTACAATGGGGCTACTCGTCACTTTATCTTTGTCGCTATGGTGATCACATTGGTTGGTATGTAATGGAACCTTAGGCTGGGCTACTCGTCACTATATCTTTATCGCTCTGGTGATCACATCGATTAATATATATTGGGACCTTAGATTGGGCTACTCTTTATCCACGTACGTTACACCTTCAGTCAGTGATCTTTGCTGATTGTGCGTTTCGGTTTGGCAAACTTTATTTGAGTTACATACACCGAATGTTAATACTTTATTGTATTTTAATGTATTTGATATAGCCTGCGTTTCTTCTTGAGAGTGTGTTTGATATAGCCTGCGTGTCTTCCTGAGTGTGTTTGTAAGGCCTCTTGTCTCCTTGAGTGTGTTGATATAGCCTGCGTTTCTCCTTCAGTGTGTATGGTATAGCCTCGTGTCTCCATTAAGTGTGTATATATAGCCTGCGTGTCTCCTTGATTGTGTTTGGTATATTCTGCGTGTCTCCTGGTGTTTATTTGATATATTCTGCGTGTCTCCTCTTGAGTGTGTATATATAGCCTGCGTGTCTCCTGGTGTGTATTTGATATAGCCTGCGTGTCTCCTTGATTGTGTTTGATATAGCCTTCGTGTCTCCAGGTGTTTATTTGATATAGCCTGCGTGTCTCCTGGTGTGTATTTGATATAGCCTGCGTTTCTCCTTCAGTGTGTTTGGTATAGCCTCGTGTCTCCCTTGAGTGTGTATATATAGTCTGCGTGTATCCTTGATTGTGTGTTTGATATAGCCTGCGTGTCTCCTCTTGAGTGTGTTTGGTATAGCCTGCGTGTCTCCTGGTGTGTATTTGATATAGCCTGCGTTTCTCCTTCAGTGTGTTTGGTATAGCCTCGTGTCTCCCTTGAGTGTGTATATATAGTCTGCGTGTCTCCTTGATTGTGTGTTTGATATAGCCTGCGTGTCTCATTGAGTGTGTTTGTAAAGCCTCGTGTCTCCCTTAAGTGTGTATATATAGTCTGCGTGTCTCCTTGGTTGTGTATTTGATATAGCCTGCGTGTCTCCTTCAGTGTGTTTGTATAGCCTCGTGTCTCCCTTAAGTGTGTATATATAGTCTGCGTGTCTCCTTGGTTGTGTTTTTGATATAGCCTGCGTGTCTCCTTCAGTGTGTTTGTATAGCCTTGTGTCTCCCTTAAGTGTGTATATATAGTCTGCGTGGCTCCTGGTGTGTATTCTATATAGCCTGCGTGTTTCCTGGTGTGTATTTGATATAGCCTGCGTTTCTCCTTCAGTGTGGTTGGTATAGCCTCGTGTCTCCCTTCAGTGTGTATATATAGCCTGCATGTCTCCTGGTGTGTATTCTATATAGTCTGCATGTCTCCTTGATTGTGTTTGATATAGCCTGCGTGTCACCTGGTGTGTATTTGATATAGCCTGTATTTCTCCTTCAGTGTGTTTGGTATAGCCTTGTGTCTCCCTTAAGTGTGTATATAAAGTCTGCATGTCTCCTTGATTGTGTTGATATAGTCTGCGTGTCTCCTTCAGTGTGTTTGGTATAGCCTCGTGTCTCCCTTAAGTGTGTATATATAGTCTGCATGTCTCCTTGATTGTGTTGATATAGTCTGCGTGTCTCCTTAAGTGTGTATATATAGGATGCGTGTCTCCTTGAGTGTGTTTGATATAGCCTGCGTGTCTCCTTAAGTGTGTTGATATAGGATGCGTGTCTCCTTAAGTGTGTCTGATATAGCCTGCGTGTCTCCTTTAGTGTGTTTGATATAGCCTGCGTGTCTCCTTGAGTGTGTTGATATAGGATGCGTGTCTCCTTGAGTGTATTTGATATAGCATGCGTGTGTCTCCTTCAGTGTGTTTGATAAAGCTTCTTGCCTCCTTGAATGTATTTGATATATAGCCTGCGTGTCTCCTTGAGTGTGTTTGATATAGCCTGCGTGTCTCCTTGAGTGTGTTTGATATAGCCTGCGTGTGTCTCCTTCAGTGTGTTTGATATAGCTTTCGTGTCGCCATGAGTGTGTTTGATATAGCCTGCGTGTGTCTCATTGAGTGTGTTTGATATAGCTTGCGTGTACCTCACTCAGTGTGAGTTCAGTGTGCAGAAGACATGCATGTCGTCAAACAATAAACAGACAGAACACACGGAAACAACAAACACTGCAGTAGGTTTTTGTAAGCTTAGTTGCTAACGTTTCCCTTTGATAAGCGGAAAATATATACCTCTTGTTGAATACGTTCCAGAAAAGAATTGTTATAAAAGTTGATTTTATTTAAATGTTTTTTTTTCAATACCTGCCATTATCATGATTCAAGATTGATGAACGGTCTAAGACCATGGTGATTTTCATATTTTACTTGATTTACTGGTAGTGATTTTGAATGCTATCCTCGGATTCTTTTATGGGTTGTTTTAGTCGCTGCGCGTTTTTTCCAGTATCGACTGTATTGATTCTGTTCGTTGAAACTTTGGCACATTTTTCAGTCAGTATTTCTTCTATTTATTCAAAATTCCATCCACATGAGTTGCATTGACGCCGAACATCAATTTAAAAATATTAGTTGAAATTGTAGGTTTTAACTAGAGAAATATCGATGACACAATGTGAAACATTTATACCGGTAAACATACCCTGAAAAAAGTACCAAACAATTAAGGTGGCTCCACCCTTTCGCAATTAGCCAGCAGAATTCAATGAAAGTTTCACATAATGGTTATGTCAATATGTAGAGATGATTTTATGAAAATCTAAGCATTCCGATAAACTGGGAATTTTTTGGTAAAAAAACACTTTCACATTTTTTGAGTGTGTGGCATTGTTCAAAACTATTACAAAAACAAAATAATGAAAAGAAACATTGCTAATCAACCCTATACATATCTTATTTATCATTATTTTTTGCAGAGGGATAGAATTTATAGAATGACACTTATTTTCTTTACTAGATTGTATACCAAAAACGACGTAAATAAGTTAAAATACTTTATTTAATTGTCAATTTACTGTTCTTTTATGAAACAAAGATACTCTCAATCATGTACACTTTGGACATCATTCCATAGCCCGCTTACGCATGGTTATTTACATGTCAGGTTCATAGGTAACCATAGGCTATCGTTTGGTATGCCGTTATCACGTAATTGTATTTGTGAAACGATTTATCTGACAGAGCGTAACTCGCTCGACATTAAAAGTCGTGCGACCAAGAGCTGGTAACTACTGTTAGCACTTGATACATACATGTGAGGTCGGTAAACAAAACACATCAGTCTGCATTCCATGCGCCTCATATACGACCTTCTTGAAGTCGTCTGATCTTATGTCAGTGTCTTCCCGTGAGTTAATTAATGCCTTTCTATCATAAGCTTTATTTTAGAAGTAATTGTGATTACACATTTCCAAGTGAAGTCTCGATATTGACATATCATCGTCACGCACGTCTACTATTGCTTACCCGGTGTTACTATAATCTAAACTACGGTAATGGAATGCCCGATACGCAATACGGAAATGACGACACGAAAATACGACAAAAAACACATGTGTATTACGAAGGGTCGGAAGTCCTGAAACAAAATTGTCCACTGAACGGTAAACACTCCTAGAAGCTGAGAAAGATTCATCACTTTTGTTGCAATTGTATTCAACTTGATATTATTTTTATCACTGAGTTGTTGCTATTTTTATTGGTTTTATAAGACGTTAATGCAGGGTAGATTGAGTGTCCTCGATAACGTGTTTAGTACCGCTTTTTACCATCGTTGCATTGAACTTATACACCGACGGTTACTGTGAGCAGGATGTTGTTCTTTACATTGGTTAACGCTCTGGCCAGCTCCTCCCTGAAACCGAATTGTTAAAGCTGCGACACATTGTAAACGGCATGGGTGATAATTCTCAATGGATTTCAATCATAATGAGATGGTAGAAGAAGCACATGTTTGACCAGTCACTGGTGTAATTCCCGAGTTATTCGCATCTCGCATGAGGTCCTCTTGGGTCACCATAGACTTCTATGCTAGAATGATTTTAATGAAAATTTGGTAAGTTCCCCACTCTCAAAAGTTCATACTACAAAAAATATTGTTCTGTTTCCATATATGCATATAGATCCAAGGGGATGTTAACCTTTCTTTTTTTGATTTTTGTTTTGTTTTCGTTTTTTCTTTGTTTGCTTGTTTCGAGTTTATATCACCCTTTCGAGTTTATATCACCCTTTCGAGTTTATATCACCCTTTCAATAACAATATTTACAAACCTTCATTTACTAATCTCATTTCTCTGTTCTTATTTGTTTGATTCTGAATGCGTTTTAGGAAAGAAATATATATGTTATAAGTGATATAGTATACACATTACAGAAGGTTGGTATCATGTTCCTGTTTACGTTCTTATCGAGATGATAAGTGAACATACATATCTACCACTCAATTGTTAATTTAAGTCTTCATTGTGGTTTTGATTGTAGAATGTATGCACCCGATGGATCAATTGATACCATGTCAATTTGCGAGAATGATGATGAAGATGATACCATTCGCCAATCCTGTCTAAGAAGAAACGCCTTACTAGTGTTTGTGGCCATTGGTGTTGCTGCAGGCTTCGGCCTTGGATTCGGACTCAGGTCTGCAGACTTGTCGGCCGATGCTATCATGTGGTTGGGTGAGTGGACACCTGTACTCTAGATCTATCACTATGTTTGGTGGTTTTGGCTGTTGGTATGCAAAAATAATATTAATATAAGATTGTTCTTTTTACATTATATAAAATATCATGTGAATAATTTAAATCTCTTAACTTATTCACGATTTGTCTCAAACAATTTATTTGCACGGATTTTGAATATTCGGAATGACCAATAACAAGTATAGATAAATGATACAACTGGTTAAGAATATGAAAATTTGCTTCATTTTTGAATTTTCAAACTAAATCCTCGCAAATGAACTGACTGCTGTGGCTGTCCTCTAAAGAATGTGGAAGTGGCTTCACTCTGAACTTCGGCAAAATCGAGTAACATGACGGTTTCCAAATTGATAAATGTTTACAGTTTGTTTTTCTCCAGTTTATTATATTAGGCTAATTTTGATAACATAAACATATATATATTGAACGCTTCTTGTTTATTGACACAGACTCTCCATTGGGAAATTATATTCTAAGAGATGGAGCACTTAGGATGACATCACACATGTGTGTCAGCAAACATATGAGCATGTCACAGGGTATATTACATGTTGTTTATATCAATCAAACAGATTCAAAACAAAACAATACTGTTATAGAAATAATACTGACTTTCATACGTCACCAGATTTATTGTCTCGAGTCCAAATGTAAGAACTTCCATTCATTTGAAGGCCGACCTTATTTACACTTTAGTCGATCGTCCTTGATCGAAAAATATAAATGTAATTCAGCTGATGCAGTGCGTTTGAAATGCATTAATAAACTTGACAGTAACATTTTGCTCGTTTCATTCCAGGTTTACCAGGGGAACTGTTCATGAATGTGCTTAAAATGACTATAATCCCTCTCATTGTTGGCAGTATTATAGCAGGTAAAATCACATATACTAATAGCACTTATACAAAACGGAACCATACATCTGTGATGTCAATCCTGTACACTAAGACCTGACTAGGAATATCTTTCAAATTAAAATTCATAACATTTATAATGGTATGCAACACATCGCGTTCAAAATGTAAATCACATTTGACCGTATGATCTAAGCTCTGAGTAAGAATACATGTAAGAATATGTATGAACACAGCAGTTAACATCCCGTGGGGACATTTTAGTGCATTACTCAACACTTTGGGTGTAAATCGTTAACGACAATTTTAGTTTTTATAGAAATTATCCTTGTATCTAAACAAGTTGATGTTATTCACAGTAAAACCCCACTTCTTCGAACTCGGTTTACTCGAAAACCCCTCATTCGTCGAACAGTTCGTTTGGCCCCGACCGAGTTCGTACATATTCCTTGTAAGGTTACCCCTTGTATCTAAACAAGTTGATGTTATTTACATGTATTTCATCAAATTATAAAATGTAATAGAACAGCAGCACAACACTTATTTATTTCTAGATATTATGACTTATAGATAAAAATTTATTTGTAACTTCAGGTACAGCAACATCCGACCCCCGATCAAATGGACGGATCAGCATCCTCTCACTAGCTTTTATCGTGGCTACTAACTTGTTTGGCGCCGTTATGGGTATAACGGCATATTTCATCTTACGATTGGGTAAACGTCAACTATTATATTTACCAACAACATAATGCATTTTAGAAGCTTTGAACTGCTTTTAATTGGCTTCACAATCACGAAATTCATGTTATCTTTGCCCTTTTTAGTTGGTGTTCCTATTGACTATGAATGCCATCTGAAAGCAAAGCAGTTCAGTTCTTAAGTATACCAATGTTCAAACATTTAGTCACAAAAACAAAGTGTATCGAAGCCTCTAGTTCAAATAACTGTATAAGAACAGCCGTCATTACAATAAGGTCATCATCTCTACCTGGTATGTCACCTAAAGCTGGTTTTACAGTGAAGAGATTATATTGAGGTAAATGTATGTTACGCGAATTATTTTTAAATTCAAGTATTTTTTTTTACAAATACAGCTATTCATATTGTACAATCAGATAGTAAATTATCATGACTAACCGATTTCTTCATCTGATATCAACGATTGAAGCTAACCCTGATACATTTCAGGTTAAGCTAAACCGATACATTTGCCAATATATTCCACGTTTTAAGTGGTTTTATTCATTTCGTTTATCATAGCTGGACTTGTTATCATATTTGTCAACTAGGTGGCGACATCACAAACACACACGTGCACAGTGGCTCGAGTCCAGACTCCCAACACCTTCAGACGCAGGACATGTTTGCTGACCTTTTACGGTAACTGATCGATATTACAGTAGTATGATGACGTTATGTTTAGCACTTGAAACACTGATACATATCAATTTCCTTATCCTTTGAAATCAGTATATACATTGTTATGGGTTTATCGGTTGACCGATACTAACAAATTAAAAAGTCACTCTTTTTCCAAGCTTTCGGGCTTAGCCCTTTGTCAAGTATTGAATGTCACCGGACCTCTACGTCACATCCATCTTGACAAACAGGATGCCAAACAATGACTTAGATATTGATGACGTCATAACATTGTTAACATGACGTCATCACATCCCAATGACGTCATTAAAATATGACCTCAAAAATTGTGACGTCATTATCATTACCTGGTATTGATACCATTGGGGAAAGCAGTGTTGAGTCTGTTAATCCAAAATCCCTCAATCACAAGCCTTGCTACGTTTGATTCCTCCTTTACCCTTTCCAGTACGCACACCCGCAAGTCCGATAGAAAATGACCTCTGCCTAGGTTGACCGATATATAAGAAATATGATATAACGATTTGACATTAAAAAATAAATGCTGAAAGTTAAGTGTTTAAGTGTTGTTGGCACAAGCATGCTAGTCTTCTTACTTAAACTATTTTTTATTTACAGGAATATTGTACCCAACAATATCATCACTCCAACTTTTCAAAAAGTGAGTGGCTCTTCACATATTACGTTGCTCCTCCGTAGTATTTGCGACGTCACATTGGGTGAAGTGAATGTTCAAACAAATTATACATAATACGCGATGATGACAAATGAAACTTATGGCAGTAATTGGGAATATTTTTGATGTGTATAACTAGTCGTGATAAGGTGAAATGATCCGAAAGTTGAACGTTCATTTATTTTATTCCGAGTCTGTTTTGAACATCATTCAGGTATTATATTTCACCTTGTTTTGATGCATGTTCATTATATTTTTTACGATTTTGTTGAAGGCTCAGACCAGGTACACTAGTGTGTTCTCCGTCGTAGACAATAATGGAACAAACGTCACAGTACAAGTCTTCGTCCGTCATGTTGGCGTTGCCAGTACTACAAACGTATTGGGTAAGACATGAATCAAGGAACAGGTCTGCATGCATGCCCCCTGTGGGCTTGACCAGTAGTACAAATGTGTAAGGTAAGCTATTGAAGGCCAAAGACGTACATACGTCAATGTACAGGTTTTCCAATATGTCATATGGTTATGGCCATTATTACACATATATAAGATAAATTTGGTAGCTTGTGCCCGATAGCTATACACACGCCATGGAACAGGTTTTATAAGTCTGGTGGATATGGCTATTAGTAAATATACGATAACAATGCACTAGTTATAGTTTGATGTATGGACGCTTTTTAATCATACTCTATATTTGAAATGGTTTATGTTGTCATGGTCAAATACGATATATCGGGTACTACTACAGGTCACACACCTTCAAGATCCACTATATTGTGATCCTAATATACCGAGGATGCTGTAATGTTTTGGTTCCCAGGTGTAATTTTGATCTCAGCTGTGGTTGGGTTAGCCGCAAGTACTGTGAAGGAATCCTCCACCAGCTTTGTACCATTCTTCACGGCCACGTCTGATATTTTCATCAGGATAATGAGGTGGTTTGTTTGGTAGGTAGCAGTGTGGGAACTTTACTTTACAATTTCTCCATTAATTTGAAAACAATTATTGTTTAAATTTCAACATATAATTCAACACATTCTGCGTTATCTCGAAAAACCTGTAAATGTCAATTTACGCACTCTTTTAAAGAATACAAACAACAAAGCAGTCCTTTGTATTGGACATAAATTGATCACGGAACTGAAGCATTTTTTATTTGACGTTATGTTAACTTCCTTTCCTTTGACTTCATATGTTAGATACGAGTAAAAGATTTCAAAGACAGTTTATTGTTTTTAATCCAAACAAACAACGAAAAAATAAAGAATAATTATTCTAATTACACAGTGTTATCTAGCTAAAATAACACGCCATATAGTGATATTTAGCTTCCATAGGACGCCCTTTAGTGATATCTAGCCTCTTTCCGTACCGTTGTCGTGTACACACGACACCACTATGTCATCCTGGTCCCCGTTGTCGTGCACAGACGACAAAATAATAGGCCGTCTCATCCCCGTTGTCGTGTACACATGACAAAAGACTTTGGTGTAACTTGTCTTATGTTTATCTTGTTATCGCACACGACAATCGCGTAATACAATTATTTGTCGCTAAAATCAGCACCAATCATTTGGAAAGAAATAGTTTTATAGGTACAGAGTACACAATTTATATTTTGTGACCTATTGTTTTCGAATCTGTCGCAAGATGTTTGCGTTTGGTGATTCAAATATAAACAATATGGCGGCAACTTAATTCGATATGAACAGTCGTAAATTCATCACCAAATATTTATTTAGACTTATAAAAGTAAATATGAATATTTTGATATAAGTATTAATGAAATCTACTTGTAATTAGAAAACAATCGTAACGACTTCGTATTCGTAAACAATAACCAATCCCTATTAGGAACCTCCACTTCCACACTGTTTTGAAAACAAGGTTTCGTATTGTTTGTTGCCGAACAGATGTCGATTTCTCAGTCGAAATTAGCTGCCAGTTAGTCATTATCCTGCGAAAATGAAGAAATGTGTGTCTATAAACAACAGCATGGAACAATAACAATATGTGTTCACGGTTACCTGTTTAATTCTTGCAGCAATTACACCTCGTCTAAAAAGAACATTAATATTCCGCCATTTTGTTATTTGCGCGGGGGCCAGTCTAGTAAGGACATCCGGTACGGAATCCGGACCGGATTTGCGGTACGGAAAGAGATAGCACGCCCTATAGCTTTATATACAATGTATCTTAAATAAAACGCCCTTTGTTGATAACTAGCTTAAATAACACGCCCTATAGTGATATCTAGCTTAAATAACAAGCCCTATAGTGATATCTAGCTTAAAAGAAGGACGCCCTATAGTGATATCTAGCTTAAATAACACGCCCTTTAGTGATATCTAGCTTAAATAACACGCCCTATAGTGATATATATTTTGATTAAATAACACGCCCTATAGTGATATATAACTTGATTAAATAACACGCTCTATAGTGATATCTAGCTTAAATAACACGCCCTTTAGTGATATCTAGCTTAAATAACACGTCCTATAGTGTTATCTACAATGTAACGTAAATAACACGCCCTGTAGTGATATCTAGCTTAAATAACACGCCCTTTAGTGATATCTAGCTTAAATAACACGCCCTTTAGTGATATCTAGCTTGATTAAATAACACGCCCTATAGTGATACCTAGCTTAAATAGCACGCCCTATAGTGATATCTAGCTTGATTAAATAACACGCCCTATATTGACATCTAGCTTAAATAGCACGCCCTTTAGTGATATCTACATGTAGCTTGATTAAATAACACGCCTTATAGTGATATCTAGCTTAAATAACACGCCCTATAGTGATATATAGCTTGATTAAATAGCACGCACTATAGTGATACATTTGTACCTAGCTTAAATAGCACGTCCTATAATGATATTTAGCATAAATAACACGCCTTTTAGTGATACCTAGCTTAAATAACACGCCCTATAGTGATATCTAGCTTGATTAAATAACACGCCCTATAGTGATATCTAGCTTGATTAAATAACACGCCCTATAGTTATACCTAGCTTAAATAGCACGCCCTATAGTGATATATAGCTTAAATAACACGCCCTATAGTGATATCGCTTATAGCACTTAGCCACCACCTAAAAGTATTTTGTCCCTAAAATAACTCACTTTATGGTATGTTATCGCTTGAACAACTAACCATACGGTGTGTTATCGCTGAAACAGTTTACCTTTTAGTGTGTTTACTATGGCGGCCTATTTAAAATCGTGTTATTTCGCGGCGAAATAACGAGATTTTACATTACAAACTGTGATTATTTCGTTATATCGCGACGAAAAACGACATTATATCTTTATCTTAATTGTCGTCATCTCGTCTTTTCGCCTCGAAAAGTTAAAATGTCGTTTCGTTATCTCGCGGCGAGATCAAGACATTTAGTGCAGTTAAAATGTCGCTGTTTCATCATTTCGCGGCGAAATCACGACATTAAGTAAAGTTAAAATGTCATCGTTTCGTTATTTCGCGGCGAAATGACGACAATTATGAAGTTTAGAATGTCGTCATTTCGCCGCTAAAAAAGGAACGACATTTTAACTTTACTTAATGTCGTGATCTCGCCGCAAAATAACGAAAACACGACAGGACGACCGTTTTAACACGAAATAACGACAGTTGTAGGAAGATAATTATCGCATAATTATTTCGACTTTTAGCTCGACTTTTGTCGTCTTTTCGTCTTTTCGAGGCGAAAAGACGAGGTGACATTAATTTAGATACAAATAAAATGTCGTTGTTTCGCCGCAAAATAACGAAACAACGACATTTTATAATTTAAAATCTCGTAAATTGGTAGCGAAATTGCACACATAAGCCACCATAGTTTACGCTGAAATAATTATACAGTGACATCCATTTAAACAACTGACCATGTAATGGAGCTTCAAAACTTTTTGATGTGCTGTCACTGTTTTACTGTCAAAACCGAATATCGGTAACTCTTTACTTGTGGACTTAGGTGCAACTTTCTGCTACTTTTGATCACATCCACTTTGTACTTCTATTCAGGTCGACACCAGTCGGCGTGGCGAGTCTGATTTGCGTGTCGATAATACGTGTAGAAAACCTTGAGGACACATTTAGAAGCCTGGGAATGTTCCTCCTTACGTTCACGGTAGGAAACCTTCTGCAACAGCTTCTGCTTATCCCCTCCATCTACTTCCTGGCACTGCGGAAGAATCCCTTCACGTTCCTACTGAGTACGGCCCGGCCCTGGATGACCGTGTTTGGTCCTCCAAGTTCGTACGTTATAGAAAAAGTATAAGTCTATTATTATCAGAACGATTTCAGAAGAATCCTAGAGGTGAAGGATTTAAATAAGATAACTACCATTATTCCAGAAAAACATAAAAATTCCTGAGATCAAAGATGTTTTCATTTTAAGCGTGACTTATTGCAAAATTTAAGCCCTGATTCGGTATTAGCAAATCCGGAAACACTTATTCTAACATCAGAGTGTTTAAATAGCTCATATGAGCCCTGCTTGCAAATTTCGTTTGTAATGATATTCTTCTTTTGATAGTATCATATAAAAGACAATAATGTGCCCTTTGAATTTTTAATGAATGTTTGGATAGACACACCTTATCTGTGGTTATATTTGACGATGTAGGATCGTCGGTATGCCGGACATGATCACAGTCTGCGAGGAAACCCATCACGTTGACAAACGAGTATCCAGCTTTGCTATTCCATTCAGCGTGACTCTTTGTCGAGCCGGAAGTTGTTACTTCATAAGCCTTTCAGCCCTCTTTATGTATTCCATGGAAGGGCTGCATCCATCCGTCTCTGACGTCATACTGATCGGGTAATCATTTTCACTAACTTTCATCTAAAATACGCAAGGTATAAGTTAAACGAATGTTCATTGATAAATGGGTTTACCCCTTAGGAAGCGTTTTGAAAGATAAAGGAAAAGTAAGTTATTTTTTTCTCGATTTCAGAAATACTCTTTTATGACAAACACAACTTCTGGGCCCAGTTGTTCAAACGGTGATAAGCGCAAATTTGATTTTTGGTGTATCTTTAAAACATGCCCATTCACTGAGTTAAAATTGGCTGGATAGCTTATATTACATCAGAGTAACCTACATGCAAAACCTATAGATTTTACATTGTATAATGACTAAGTTACTAGATATTGAAAAATGTCGTTAAACAATGATTAAGCTAACACTTTTTGAACAACTGGGCCCTGGTACACAAGTAAGTTCGACTAATGCTCGTTAAACAGAAGTCATGCCTATATTATTCAGGGGCTATCAGCTGATATATAGGTTTTTTTGGTGTTTTTTTACATATATTCCTTAATTTTTTAATCCTCCCACTTGTTTTGCTGATTCAGCCTGACGAATGTCTTACATACGGGTACCCTTGTCTTCACTTAAGCGATACATACTAGTATAACTTCAGATAAAGCGGTTATTTTGTCCTTTTATCTTCTGAATCACTCCCTTACTCTAATGAAGTACAGATAAAATCACGGAAGATGAAATATATGTGAAGTAAGCTTGATAAATAACTATTTAGTGCGGTACCTGTGAACTCCGGATTTGTTTGTTCATATTTGATTCCGGATCTTACTCTAAAATGTAGGTATTTTTCTTCCGAAAATGAGATTTACTATAAGGCACTGAGACTTCCTGAAGAAAATCACCTACTTCGGCTTTCATAGCTGTCCAAATAAAAAGACGAAAAAATTGAAGAAGAAAAATTAATAAACAAAGGATTTTCATGTTGTTTCTTTTTGAATTCGATGTCAAATTATTTCCTGATTATTTAGTAAAAATCATCTGACATGTTCTACTGAACACAATTTGTTGTCTGATATAAAATACAAAGAAACAAATTGTTATCTTATACAACATGAACAACCCACAATAATTTTGGCTAAATATAAATCGCTATTTGATGTCGTCTGCAAACAAACGAAATAACGTTCCTATGCTTCGGGTTTGAATGTTTTACCATAAGAAATCTTTAACGTAATGAATGTATCGTAATATTTTGATCTTTGTGCTTTTACCGAATGAGATCATTATATTTATATAGCAAACTGACAATTGTATAGCTAAACAATATCTGTATGAAAAATAATGTATGCCGGAATCATCTAGACAGAGAGACGGTTGATAAACTCCGCAAGGATATTGTAATGTTTATTATATTTACTGACATTGCGCAGTACGTCGATATAACATGTTGGTGTACTAGACATTCCAACTCTAGTGATCGTGAATTTTGTATTCGTATAGGATCCTTACGACGCTTAGTTCACTAGCCATCCCATCAATTCCGAGTGGTTCTATCGTAGCCATTATAATCATCCTATCTTCACTCAACATAGACACGACATCGGTGGGTGTACTGATGGCACTGGAATGGTATACGTAAGTATAATACGTGGGCCACATACCTACCGCTCATCTTATCAAACTCTCACAAACACCGTTTAATCATTACAGGAGAATCGATGGTGTAACACAGAAATATCTGAACATTTCATTAGAACATTTGGGATACAATAGGATTTGAGGACGATTTAAGACCATGTTTCCTTTGTGCATATACCGCCCTAGTGTTTTGTTGACATTTTGGTATTTTTATCTTGTTATCATCATTATATGCGTCATGGTTGCTTAAAAACAACTAACTACATATGCAAGAGTCAACTTCTGCAGGATACTTAATAAACAATAATACATGTTAGATATTTAATTGTGTAATCGAGGGAAAAATTATCGCATCTTTAAAAAGTTGAGAAAACTAGGCGACAAAGCTGGTTTACCGAGAATTATTCGAAGAGCCTTTTTAGAATTTTGTTATTTGTCATTTTTTCGTTTTGCTTTTTAACGTAAATATTTAGACGTTTGTCTTAACCAGTAAAATGGACGAAAATAATTGTGAGCAGACAATTCTCACATACACGATCAATCCAACTCAACCTCTGATCCGAGACAGAGGCTGTTGATTGCTTTGTCACAAAATTGTTTTAAGTGATGCTCATTAGATATAAGTTGTTACAATTTTCGCTTCGATTCTAATTTCACTATTTATCTCATGATTCACTTTCACAAATTTAAGAATATGTAAAATATATAAACATTGTTTTTTTAACAATAAGGCAACACATTTTCTAAACGTCTATTAATTGCTCTCGTTAGCCAGCATGGAAGCGCGCAAATCTATGTATATAAAATTGAATTTTATGCACAAAACGTTGAGGAATATATCTTTTTATCAATGTCTTTAATGTTTAGAGATCGGATGCGAACGGGAAGTAACATGTTACACATGGTGACGTGTACGATCGTGGTGGACAAGTTGTGTGCCCCACAGCTACAGAGACGTAAACTCGAAGAGAATGGCGATGTCGACGACACAACACACATCTAGATGTTAAACCTTTTCGTATTTCGGATTTTATAATCGGGTTAAATTCTAATATATTGATATTACAATTAAGAAAACAAATTACTAAACCAGCGAAACATTATATTTCGATAATCAAGAGTTCTACCTCTTGATCAAAACATATTTTATGACAGTCAGTTACGTTTTAATTTAGCTTCATATTTTCTTTTGAATCGGGAATTCTGACAATTGACACGCCAGTGAAGTTTCTTTTGGATACGTGTTAAATGTTCTACGATCTTATGGACACACATTTAACATTTAACGGAAATCACCTGTTGTGTGTCAATAAAACGGCTGGTCACCCACTGTCATTTTGCGTTTGTGCTCAAGGATGTAATAAAATATCTTGATTAAGAAACTTCGTTTCAAATCACTGATAGAAGAATAATTTGGAGTGGATAACCTGGTTTGTACCACATTGTATCTGAGAAATCCAAGAAGTTTTGTAAAATGTGTTCCTAGTGATATTTCACAAACAAAATTCTAAGTTTGTTCCTTTTTCCCTTTTATCAGTTTACACATGAAATGTACAGTGTGTCCGATTTTTTTGTCGAAAGAAAATGCGTATCACTTTTGATTTTAATTCACTTTAAAAGGCAATGCATATAAATATATCCAAATCTACATTTTGTCAAATTTTTTGAAGTGTTTTTGCAAATGTCTATTAATTTATTTATTTTGTAGATATTAACAAATTCTTTCATTTAAGGATATTCTCCTACTGACGTCCGTTTAGGAAAAGAACAATCTCAACACAGTGTTTGGAATTTGTCAAGATTGTTTCACATGTTTCAGCAGGATATTTAATTTTCTCTTCTTCATGTGAACTTGAGTTAGGTTAGACTGGCGTTATAAACAATGTGTTTTAAGTATCTCAATAAATAAAACTTTATGGGACTCAAGTATAGGGAATGAGGATGTCACACTTTTACCGTCTAAATTGAATTCAAGTTTTTATCAAATGTGTTTTAACTACGCAATAACTTCACTTAATGTGTATGTAGTTGCTCTGTTCCGCTGAAACCAAATATTTCTAGGATTAATACATCCCCTGCACAAGCATGACAGAAACACTTTATTCAGACTATCAATAGGGGTATCTCCTATGTTAATACTAAATTCTATATTCCTGGTCCTGACTCAGGATGAATGCCTCTTTCAATCTTAATGAAACTCGATGTTAATACTCTCTGTGGCACCCCCTGTACATGCAACTTCTCAAAAGTTACTTAAAAATACTGGATCCATTTGTTACCATGTTACCAGATCTTTAGCAACCAACTACCGGAAACTATGTCCACGACCATGATTCGAAAAGACTAAGAATTCATTTCACATGATGCTGTCTTTTTCTTTACCAACACACCCATTGACAATGCACTGAAGAATAATTCAAAAATGTTAGAATTAGACAGATCCTGGCCTTAAAAACAAAAAAATCCAGATTGAGAAGCTGACAACGACATATTTCAATCTCTGAAATAACATCTATATTAACATGCAGATTTCATCGCCTTGCATCTAGTGTTAAGCAGTGTTGACCATAGTCATCTGGAAAATATTTTATCTCAATTCCGCAATTGTTAAAACGCGAGATACTGTACATACACGTGATTTTACCTATGAAATTTCGTAAAAGATACAGTATGCCAGCAATAAATTACGCTGCAGCGTACACATGTTTCGTCCTCTTATGACTCATCGGTGATGCTTGGGGCCAACAGCAAAGCGTTGGCAATTTAACTTAGTAGCGAGATAGGAAACACAGACACCGAGATATGTGAAGGACGTCTGCTTACACAAATATCACAAAAACATAGCTGGTTTAGAAGAAAATCCCTTAAACTCAGAACGCAGACACTTGTCAATAAAACCGAGCTCCAGACAAGTTTTTCAAAGGGTGAAGTCAAAGGTCAAACCATAGTCACAGTGACTTATTTTTGTACTCGACACGCTGCCAACCCAAGATGTACTTTTTTACCAAGTCTGGTTACTCCCCGGTAAAATAGTACGAAAAAAAACATGCCCCAGACAAGATTTTCCAAAAGTTTAGGTCAAAGGTCAAGTCATAGGTCAGAGTGACATAATCCTCGTACGTAACTGTCAACTATCCCAAGCTGTACTTGCATATCAAATATAGTTACTCCGGGTGAAATATGAGCGGGAACGTTATCTGTCTATAACCCCCCTTCTTCTGTATCGAATATCTTCGCATAATGACACGAAACGTGACAGTAATTATGTCGTCTGGGTATAATCTCCACAATGTGTTGAGTTTTAACCATATTGATATATGTGACATATAGGAACACTGGGTTTTTGAGAAAAACACTATTGATTTCAGAGCATCCACAATTTCTACGATTCTCGTGTTATATGTGATTTCTACTGACACCCACATACTAAAAGAAAAACACCCAAAATGCGGTGTTGCGTTGATGTGGCACAAGCGCCTCTCTAGCAAGATAGATGTTGCTGATTCCGATGACGACCGGATCGCGGTCACTAAAGTAATGCGTGATGGACCTTCCACCAATGAGGTATAGAATAGACCTGTTTCGCTCATGGGCGATTTCAACACTCGCCAACTGACATCATAACCTAATATCAAAGAAGCGTGTCAAAACCACCATGCGGACTTATATGTACCGATATATGTTAAGATCCATTGGCAGGGCCTTTCAACATCAGAAGTAAAAAATGTCAAGCACTTTCTGTCCGCCGCCAAACCCTCTCCCAAACGTTTCGTCGAGGCGTCAGGTTAAACATATAGCAAACATTCAAATATTTGTGTCTGCCTCGAAAATAAGGGAGATCATCTTACAACAAAAAGTATTGGGAACATGCTTCTTTTTGCCTGCTTCATTCAAAATATCTGAATAAACTAGATTTTCCATTTGTCTATTTGAGCACCTAGATATCGCCTTGATGTACTATCTTGACAAGTTTGATGAATCTGTTTGAATCGACCTTTTTTGCTGGTCCTAACATATCTAACATATGCGACAAAATGGCGACACTTCGCCCTGTGTATATCGCAAATAAAGATTCTACTCTTCGGTAATAACATTTACCATTTTTGAAATCTTTTTATCTCATAGAAAATTCAAAATCAATAACACTTAGCAATATTCAGTATTAAGTTCAAATAATGTATTCATCGCATTTGTGGAGCAATGTGTTAAATAATCCGACTGAAGCATACTAGCTACATGAACAGGTAGTTGTATACAAACTTTGCCTTAAGCCGAACTTGCTGCAAATCTCAAAGTGTTCTTGGAAAGTGTTTGCGTGGAAACAGAATGTTTAACTGACAAACGGATGAAGGTCCTACCTCGTTGCAACCCGTTAGTAGCAGGCGTATGGAAATAAGGTCACTGCGACCTGATTATGGGACACTGCACTCACCTACCTCTGACCAAGTGTTGTGTCCCTGTAAACGAAAACAGTAAGTCACACTGGTCCTTTGAATATTATAAAGGATAGACGCCCGATTTCAAAGCCTGTCAATGTTTACCGTTAGGTGACCACGATATCTTTTTGATGTATATCAAAGGATCAAGCTAGTCTTCTTGTCTCATCAACAAGGTGGAGCACACTTTGCCTTTACTTTTGCTATGACATATTCCAGGGGTGTACATAGCGAAAGTAAGCGTAACCCCTGGATATCGAGGATGGGGTTAGGATGACGTAAGTAAGGTTAACAACACACGCTTTCTCTCAAATGAAATGCACTGACCAATACGTATGCAGGATGCTTATAAGATATTCGTACATTCTGCTCACTCTAAGTTTCAACATATAAGTAAATTGTATGTAAAGATTCGGTACCGGTAGCTTTGCTTCATTTTCTTGTGTTTGCTCTCTTCAATCATGGCCTTAGTTTATGTACGCGGTATCTAATGGTTTGCTATATGTTTTGTTTTATCACAATATCGATAAAAAGTCAATCATTATGGACGTGTATCAACGTAGGTGAAGAATTTTGGTGGCAAAACCATGGCAAAACCTCGCTTCTGGCCCAAATGCGTCTACATCCTCGGGTAGAATATCCATATCCAACATGTAATATACTGTATTAATTTCACTTTACATTAATTTTCAAGAGGAAACAAACAAAAAACATCTGAAATGTAGGCAATATAAGGACAGGGCCTATCATTCATGGGAAGTAACTCTGTTATCCCTGTAACTCAAAGAGCTTGGTAAACTGCTGATGATATTATAAAATCAATCAATCAATAATGATGAATTACGGTAAAGTATTTCTTTATTCGATCGTTCACGTGTTATTCTAGCTTTCTATATTGATATTTGATATCAATTGATATTTCTATATCTGTAGCTATACGATAGTTTATGATGCAAACATACTGTAGGTATACTGCAGGGGTCGAGGTGGCCAATTGGTTAAGGCGTCTGCCATTCTGCTACCACTAGCCCTCCACCATTTGGTCGCGGGTTCGAGGCCAAATGCCCAGTCGCCAGGTACTGACTGTACATCGCTGATTTTTCTCCGGGAACTCGGGCTTCCTCCAACACCAATACAAAACAGTAGGTACACATGTTCAAAGGCCCCTACACTGTATCAACTCTGTATACGACTATGTAGTATAGAACTTGCGTATTACATTGTATGTGCACACCTACACCTGTATACTGTATCAAACGTGTGTGGTATGTTCAGACCTTAAGTGTAAAATACCTGTTTTTATTACATACTTACTAATAGATACGGGGTTTTTGTATATGCGATACGACACAATTGCTCTTACCAATATCAGGCTTCGCCGTATCACACCCCAAAAGACGTATCAGCCCGCAAAACCCGTATCACATCCCTTTTGGAAATTTTTCAATAATTCAAAAGAAAAATAGATCATAAGATAGAAGCTTTTATTAGTAAGTATGTAATAAACAGAATAAAACCCTCGACCAATATCAGCCCTCGCGCCTTCGGGCCGTGGGCTGATATTGCAGTCTCGGGTTGATACTGGGTCTGATATGGAAAAAAAGCATGTATTATTCTCTATATATACACACACAGCGATATTGTATCAATCATACCTGTGTATATACACACCTATACTGTATCATACCTGTGTATATGTATATACACACACCTATACTGTATCATACCTGTGTATATACACACACCTATAATGTATCATACCTGTGTATATACACACATTTACACTGTATCATACCTGTGTATATACACACCTATACTGTATCATACCTGTGTATATGTATATACACACACCTATACTGTATCATACCTGTGTATATACACACACCTATAATGTATCATACCTGTGTATATACACACATTTACACTGTATCATACCTGTGTATATACACACCTATACTGTATCATACCTGTGTATATGTATATACACACACCTATACTGTATCATACCTGTGTATATACACACACCTATAATGTATCATACCTGTGTATATACACACCTTTACACTGTATCATACCTGTGTATATACACACCTATACTGTATCATACCTGTGTATATATACACACCTATACTGTATCATACCTGTG